GTAAATGTCTTCCTCTAATTCACCATGAAGAAATGCTGTTTTTACATCTAATTGTTCAAGATATAAATTTTCTGCAGCTACTATCCCCAGAACAACTCTGATTGTTGTAAGCTTCACAACTGGAGAGAATATCTCAGAATAGTCAATCCTTTTCTTTTGCTGAAAACCTTTTTACAATAAGTCTTGCTTTGAACCGTTTGCTTCCATCATGTTCAGTCTTTACTCTGTAAACCCACTTGTTTTGCAAGAGCTTCTTTCCTTCAGGCAGTTTGGTTAACTCCCAAGTCTTGTTCTTCAACAATGACTCCATCTCGTCCTTCATGGCTAACTCCCACTTGCTTGAGTTTCCATCTTGTAAGGATTCTTCATAAGTTAATGGTTCACCACCATCTGTCAGCAAGATATAATTCAGTAGAAGTGTGAACCATTGTGGAGGCTTTATAGTCCTTGAAGATTTACGAACAGCTGGTTCACTTGGCTCTGCACTATCTTGTGTAGAAGTGGTGGGTACTGAAGTGCTTGAACTGTCTTGTATGGACTCTTGAGTGGTAACATCAGGAAGCCTTTCTAATTGTATGAATTCAGATTTCTGTGGACTCTTATCTGAATCAGTTATCTCTAGTTCTGTACTTGATTTGTCTTTGTACAAAACTTTCTCGTTGAAGATCACGTTCCTGCTTCTGATAATCTTCTTGTTCTATTCATCCCAAAACCGAAATCCAAATTCTTCATCTCCATAGCCAATAAAGAAACATTTCTTTGATTTGGCATCCAGCTTGTTGCGAGCATTAAAGTCTACATGCACATAGAAAACACACCCAAAGACCTTTAGGTGAGAAAGCTGTACTTCTTTTCCTCTCCAGACTTCCTCGGGCAGTCTGAACTCCAAAGGAACTGATGGTCCACGGTTGATCAAGTAAACTACAGTATGAACTGCATCAGCCCAGAATGTTTGAGGTAACCTAGAATGCAACCTCATGCTTCTAGCTCGTTCATTGATGGTCCTGTTCATCCGTTCAGCAATGCCATTCTGTTGTGGTGTGCCTAGAACTGTCTTTTCCATTCTGATACCGTTGACAACGCAATACTCCTTGAAACCTCCATCAATGTATTCTCCTCCATTATCAGATCGTAAGCATTTTAACTTCAAACCTGATTCAGTCTCAACCATAGCCTTCCATTTCTTGAATGTGTCAAACACATCAGATTTATTTTTCAGAAAGTAGACCCATACCTTCCTACTGAAGTCATCAATAAAAGTCACATAGTACCGAGAACCTCCAAGAGATGCTACTGGAGCTGGTCCCCATAAATCTGTGTGCACCAGTTCTAGCTTTCTTGGTCTTAAGGTCCTGCCAACCTTTAAGAAACTGAGCTTCTTCTGTTTTCCAAGAACACAGCTTTCACAAATGTCTAGATCAACATTTTGTAACTCTAGTAGCTTTCCCTTTGACTGAAGTATCTTTATCCCCTTTTGACTCATATGGCCGAGTCTACAATGCCATAGCTGCGCCTGATTTTCTGCTTCAGTAGAGGCAATTATATCTGTTGATCTTGTGGTCATATACAGGGTGCCAATTTTCTTTCCACGAGCCAAAACCATTGCTCCTTTTGATACCTTCCACATTCCTCTAGAGAAAAGGATTGAATGGCCACTATCATCAAATTGTCCGACCGAGATCAACTTCTTCTTTAGTTCAGGAACATGCCTTACATTTTGCAAGTTCCATATAGATCCATTCATTGTCTTGATTTGCACATCTCCTATACCCACAATATCCAATGGTTGTCCATCGGCCAGATAGACTACCCCATAATTTCCAGCAGTATAGTTTTGAATCATTTCTTGGTGTGGAGTATAGTGAAAGGAAGCTCCAAAATCAAGAACTCAATCATCAATAGGACTATGTACAACAAGGATCAAAGCATCTTGTACCTCGTTTGTAGTGGCATTTGCAGAATCAGCTTCAGGTTTCTTTGGTTTTGTGCAACTCCTCATGAAATGACCAAGTTTGCCATAATTCCAACATTCAACCTGCTTCCTGGGTCCAAACTTGCTTTTACTTCTGTACCTGGATTTTGATCTGCCTCTGGATAAGCCTCTGTCTTGTCTCCTTCCTCGAGTGTTGATGTTGAAAGCTGAACCTGAACTTGAGCTTTCACCCGAGTCTTTCCTTCGTACTTCTTCAGCTAAAATCAGGTCTCGGATATCATCATATTTTAATTTGGATTTTCCAGCTGAGTTGCTTACGGCTGTTCTCATACCTTCCCAACTGCTTGGAAGTGAAGCTAGCAAAATAAGTGCTCGGATCTCATCATTAAACTCAATTTCAACAGATGACAATTGATTTGTGATGGTGTTGAAATTGTTAAGATGCTGTGTAATAGAGGTGCTTTCTGTCATCTTCAGGTTGAACAACTTCTTCATCAAGTGCACTTTGTTATTTTCTGACGGCTTCTCATACATCCCAGACAAGGCTTCCATCAATCTTGCTGTGGATCTCTCTTTTGTAACATTATGAGCAACTCTTCTTGACAATGATAACCGGATAATGCCCAAGACTTGTCTATCAAGTATTTGCCAATCTTCTTCTGACATGTTTTCTGGCTTGCTCCCCAACAGAGGAAGATGAAGTTTCTTCCCATATAGATAATCTTCAATTTGCATTTTCCAATATCCAAAATCAGTTCCATCAAATTTTTCAATTCCTGCAGCCTTTATTTCATCAGCCATTTTTACTCTTTCTCGGATTTGAATCTTAAAAATCTGACCTTACAGATGTGTCCGGAATGACCAACAATGATGGAAACGACACTGAGATCACCCAAATCAGACTTCGGATGGCTCCGATTTAAACAATCAAACTTTGGGATAACTGGACGCTGCAAATGAAGCCACGTGGCAGGAGGAATAGTCGTTGCGCCACACCGGATCAAAACCCAGCTATGCTGACGTGGCAGACACGTAGATTTTCGACTGACGTGTGTGATGGCGTGGCGGGTTAACCAGTCAGATTGCTGATGTGGCAGGTTGCGTGGCTGCTGATTGCGCCGAACGGTTGACGTGGCGATGTCGAGTTGCAGGAAACGACGAGGAAGACGCGTGACGCGCGTGAGGCGCGTCTGTGCGCGTGGATAGTACTAGTGGTGGCGCGTGCAGGCGCGTGCGGGCATGCAGGACGTCGGATTTTCACCGGGTTTTCACCAGTGGATTCCTCTCGTCGTCGTCTTCACGATGATATTTTCAAAAAACACGTTTTGAGAACTTTGATTTTTGAGTTTGGATCAAACACCCTCTTTTTCAAGAACTTTCAAGAACAAGCTCTGATACCAGTTGTTAGGAGATCCAAACATTCAAACACACACAAATTTACGTGGTTCGACAACTTGCCTACTCCACGGAGCTACTGGTTTGTATTAATCAAGTTCAAAAGCAATACAAACAACAAAACAAGGAGGAGGAGAAAAGTTCTCTACTCAACTCAACTCTCACCCTTAGCTCTCTCTCTGTGTTTCTCTCTATTTCGTGGTCTATCTCAGCTATCAATGCACCTTCTATTTATAGCTGAGGAGGGAGATAATTGTTCAACAATGGTGGGCAAGTTAGGCACCCACCATTTGACTATAACTTCAACCATGGCTGCCACCAACCATGGCTGCCACCAAACATGGCTGCCACCTACCATGGCTGCCACCGTCCATTTGGGTCCACACACATAACATCTTCCTCTCTCTCTCTTCTCATAATAAAAACTAAAAAATAAAGGAAATAAAGTTTAACATTACAACTAAATTTTAGACAATTAAAGGTATCGATCACCTCTTAACCGAAAAAAAAAAAGGTGGATCAAACTAAACTTTTAAAACTAAATTTAAAGTTAATATCTATTTTTTTTATTTTTTTATTTTAGTTCTTTGTCTTTTAATCCGTGCATGAGGTCCTCAGTCAAGTAAAGAAATCCATAAAATGGAGATTTAAATCAAATGCCCAACCACAGGAAAATGATTCCAAACAGTTTCTCAACAGCTGAATTTTCCTCGCTGAACACCATTTTGTTCCTAAGAAGCCAGATGAACCATACAAATGCAAAGAATAACATCAACCGAGTTTTCTTCAGGAATTTCCCATGAACCAATTCTTGGTACAATCTCACTTTGTTAATTGGCCAGGCATAGAATGTGGCCTTCACCAATTGTTATGATACCCTGTAATTCAACCAAGCGCTTCCAAACACTCCATGAAAATTTGAAACGAATGAACAAGTGTGTGACAGATTCATCTTCGTAGCAACACAACTGGCGTTTGAGATCATCCTCGTTAACTCCGTGCAGAAAGAGGTGAACTTTGGTAGTGGTTTCACATACCATGCCAAAGATACGTTGGAGAGCAAGAGACTGCCACCGGATTTGAAGTGCCAAGTTGCAGACAAATTAATAGGTCTGTCCTGCTTCTTTCTATCAGTTGTGCAGACCGCAGCCTTATTGAAATGGTTTGTGATTAGAAAAGGGCTAATTTGAATGTGCCCCGTATTTATTGTGAGATATATTTCACAAAATGACTCTTGAAGTCAGAGTAAAAGGGGGGCAAGTGAAAATTTTGCTTGATTTGCAAGATCTTAAACCAAGAGCTCTGATTAAGACCGATAAAAAATCTAATGTCTTGGCCAAAGCATTGGAATTACATACACTGATCAATTGACAACAACCTCAAAAGCCTAATTTTTCTTACCCTCTACTTCTTAGTGTGAAAAACTAAATTGAACACCCAACTGTTTTGATTTGATCATGTTCTGATTACTCTTATAATGGATTCTGTAATCAAGTTATCATATTTTTCGAGGCAAATTATATTCAAGAGGGATTTTTAAAACAAATTAACCTGTGCTTTAGAGATATGCATGGAATGTGAATTTTCAGAAGTTGACAGGCAATTGAAAGCGATTTCTAGGAGCAACTGTAAACCAAGTTTTATTCAGTTTGTATGTTAATATACACCATTCTTATACAAGTAAATTGTCATACAAATCTCCAGAAATGGTTGATTTCAAAATATTATCTGGCCCAATTGACCTCATCAAATCTTCTAGAGTTGGAACCACATCTCTCTCTAGCAAAGCTGCCAATGAATCATTCGAAAACCCGTCAACCATCGTCACCCTATTCAAGTTCCTTGCTGGGAAATTCAAGATACCAGTTTCACCTCTTAAATTCCAAAATACAATCTCTGGCAATGTTGTACACCCTCTCCTTCTCCTATAACTTCCCCACATGCCCCACAAGCAAGCAGATACCTGCTGTAATCCCATGTCAGTGAAAACAAATATCTTTTGTGGCATATTCTCTTGGCTAATCTTTTCCGCAAGAGCAAATTCGAATATTTGATCAAACACCCTCTTAATATTTTCAGCCTTACTATAGTCCAATTGCCTCATGAACTCATTCTTGGCTCGAAGATTACTTCCTTGAATCATGCGAATCTTAGGATCTTCACCAAAAGATACAATCCTGCCCTTCCATGGTTCTTCACTGAGTTCTGAAACTAACAACCCCATCGATACACAAATATCCTTCTGCATTTTGTTCATGTCCCTTGATATCCCAAAAACTGCCAAACAATTCTTCAAGCTCCCTTTCCTTTTCAAGTAGTTAACAAGCCTTTCCCATTTAGACTCTGCAACCATGCTGCTACTTTCATCCCTCAACAAAGCTACAATTTCATGAGGAAGCAACAACTTTTTTTTCTTCATTGTTCTTGCTGCAATCTCCACGTAAACGTTAAACCTTTTATTGTAGTCCGCAGTCCAAAGCCCTGAATACATTTTCTTCACAGTGGTTGACACAATAGGCCTAATAGGCCTGTGTGTGATTGGATCACACCTTGTTCTACTCACAAGGGCTTTACGAAGAGGAACAAGAACTTCTTTCATCAAGCGATTTCGAACCCTATAAACATAGTGAGCATTTTCAATATCAAAGTACCCGGGGTCTGAATCAAAAGGGAAAACTGCCTTTGCAACACTTTCACAGATCAGAGTTCTCCTATCATAGAAACTATTGACAGAAGGACACCATTTTGCAGCCAAACTAATCTTTTCAACCTCACCCAAGTTCAAGAATTCGATATCAGACTTCAGCAAATCTGCATAAATATCTGCAACACAATTGTGCAAGAAATGATATGCTGAAACAGTTCGGTGAAAAAAGACTGCACATTCAGCCCAAAACATGTCTGTCTCCCTCCTCAGAACCCTCGTTTCCTCCTTCTCCATCTCTTCATTCTCGATCCGAACCATTTTCACATTCTCTCCTTGATTTAACATGCTGCTTTGACTGTAACCTCCATTTTCCATCTCAAACACCAAGATTCGATACAAGATTTCCGGAAGATCTTTCAAGTACCCAAAACTTGCCAAGACTGCAAGATTTGATGCAAGAACATAATGTTGGTATTTGTGAAGCCAAAGAACCGAGTTAAAGAACGCATGTTTATTAGGTTTTCCCTTTATGGTGGCTAATCCAAGATAGCAAATGAGCTTGAGAGTGGTATTTGGGTCTTCTTTCCAGGCACGTTCTAACCAGCGAAATAGAGTTTCAGGGGGTGTACTGGGAGTGATTTTGAAGAAGAGAAACTGGCAAGGGGTTAAGGTAGGAATCTCCATCTGAGGGTACCATACAGGAGCTTTTGTTTGTGGTTTTTGAGTTCTTGCGGTGGTGGTGAGTGGGGCACCGCGGTAAATCTCTGGTGGGCCAATGAGAAAGGAAGGAGAAGGAGCCATGGGAGTGAGGGTTTTAGAGTCTTGAAAATTGTTTGTTTGTGGTGGTGCCTACTGGTGCTATGAGGCAGGAGAAGAATCAAGGAGAAAGGCAATGAAATTCTTTTTATAGGCAGAGCGTTACTTGGGGACCAAGGACTTGTAGCTGCTAAACGCCTAAAATGTTGCTACTATACTTGGGGCGGCACTTGCAATCAGCTGTAACTGATAACCTGTAAAATAGGTTTATTCGTAGGGGAAATAAATTCCCATTGGCCCTTGAACTCTGTAACATCATGTTCAAACTTTCTAGGGAATTGCCATGCCAGGCTCCAGATACTATCAATCTTGGCCTCTTTGAAAGTTCCAAGCAAATTGCTTTTCAGTTCTGCTTCCTTAATTTTATCAGAATTCATATATCTTGATATGGGAAAGGGGAGACGAAAGCACATTTGATTCTTCAGACCTGAGTTGTCAAGCTAATAGTAAAACAACATGTCAAGGAATCAATTTCTCCCTCCCCCTTCCTCTTTACTGAAAGTAAAGAATTCCTGTTCAACGAACTCCGCTGTGTTTCTTCTTACAAAAAATCAAATCAAATTCCAAAATTCTTCAGTTGGATCAATGACCGTGAACGAACATAAAATGATCAGTTGGGTACCTAAAACTTCAAAACCATACCAGACAAATACCAGATTGCTTGGAAAAATGTTGAGGCATTCAGATTTGTTCTTTCTTTTCAGTTTCTTTCTTTTCTTAAGAGTTCTCTATATGCTTGGTCATATATAATCACTCTTAAACGTGCTCCAGTCCATGGCAGGCCAGAGCATGAGAAAATGCACGAACTTTCACTCTCTGTTCATATGTCTACATTGTTTAATTTTGGATAATGGAAGAATTTCGTATAAATCAAACATTTAGGTGGAGCATACCTGCTACACAAGTATTTGCCTGCTATGATATTTACAAAAGACACAAGAAAGAAAACATGGTGTCAGAGCACCAACCCATTTGATCTAACAAGCAAATCAAGATCTGAGAAAACCCCAGTTCTTGAAAGTACCAGCAAACTCTGGCTTGCGCAAAGCTTCTATGTTTAGGTTTCAGCTCATCTCTTAAATAGGCAAAGAATTGTCATGCATGTTTAAGAAAGCAAACTCAACTCTTACCATCCCATTAAACACGCGATGATCTCTAAATATTTATTCGAAAAACGTAAGGAAAAACTATCATTAAAGCATCTGATGTCATATCCAATTACCGGTTACGGATCAAAGCATCAGATGCACTGACAATAAGTTTTAAGGACCTTTTCTCTCTTAATTTTTTTAGCGTGAAGAACTTAATTGAAGATTCTAAGAAAACCAAATTTATTTCATGAATTTTACTGTAGGATTGTACTATACGTTAACAACCTGTATATTTGAGAAGTGGAACTTGATCAAGAGATTGGCAGAAAAATCGTGAACATGCAACTGAAAGCAATTTCCAGATGCAACTGAAAGCAATTTCCAGATGCAACTGAAAGCCAAGTTTCTTATTAGTAGTGTTTTCTTATACATCAATTATATACAAGTAAATTCTCATACAACTCTCCAGAAACGGCTGATTTCATAACTTGATCAGGGTGGACTAATCTCACCAAATGTTCTAGCAGTGGAACAACATCTCTCTCCAATAATGCTGGCAGTGAATCATTTGAATATCCATTAACCATTGTCACCCCGTTGGAGTGCCTTGCTGGAAAACTCAAATCACCTCTCAGATTCCGAAACACAATCCCTGGCAATTCTGTATACCCTTTCTTTCTCTTGTAACTCCCCCCACATGCCCCAGTAGTTAGCAGATGCCTGTTGAAATTCGAAGTCACCAAAACAAATATCTTTCGCGGCATCTTCTCTTGGCTTGTATTTTCTGGAACAGAAAATCCCAATATTGATCAAACAGCATCTGAATATTTACATTTCGACTATACTTCAATTACCTCATGAACTCAAAGTTGGATTGAAGATTGCATCCTTCAATCTTGCAAAGCGTAGGATAAATTTCAGTATTATTCACTATCTTTCCCTTGCAGGGTTCTTCACTGAGTTCTGAAATTAATAGCTCCATTGATACACAAATGTCCTCCTGTGTTTTAGTCATGTCTCTTGATATCCCATAAATCGCCAGACAGTTTCTAAGGCTTCCTTTCTTTTGTACATAGTAAACAAGTTTCTCCCGTTGAGAGTCCACAACTTTTCCACCACTTCAATCCCTCAAAGAAGCTGCAATTTCATGAAGAAGCCACAATTCCCTTTTCCTCAATGTTCTCGCTGCAATATCAACATAAACCTTAAGCCTTTCATTGCAATCCTCAGTAGAAAAGCCTGAAAACATTTGCTTCATAATGGTTGACACAACAGCCCTCTGTGTGATTGAATCAAACCTTCTTGCACTCACAAGGATTTACGAAGAGGAACAAGAACTACTTTCATCAAGCGATTTCGAACCCTATGAACACAGTAAACATTTTGAGTACCAGTTTACGAAGGACCTGATTCGAAAGTGAAAGCTGCCTTTGCAAAGCTTTCACAAATTAGAGCTCTCCTATCATAGAAACTATTGATAGAAGAACACCATCTTGAGGCCATACTAATGCTTTCAGTCTCGCCGACTTCAAGAATTCAAAAACTTCATTGAAGGAGAGCTCTTCTCTTTGCAAAGCTTTCACAAATTAGGTTTAGCAAATCAGTACAATTGGGCCTTAAACCATGTAACAGAAAGTTGAAAAAGCGTTAGCCATTAGATTACCTTTCTGGGAAATTATAAAAATGAAACATGCCGAGTTATATTATAATATTTCATTGAAGGAGGCTAGAAAGTGAAGAACGATCATCTTCATTGTCCACACCAAATGCCATGCCGTGTCCTCAAATTAATAATAAAACATGGCAAAGCTTCAGTAACGTCTCTCTTCCATTCCCCCTTTGCTAAAAGTAACATGATGAATTATATCCAATTCAGATTGGTCCAGAAATTCAAATTACTTCACAAAGTTATTGCAGTCGAATTCATGATAACCAAATGAAAGATGATAATCACTTTTTACCCTTTTTTCTTCGTTTTGTAATAACATGAAAAGTCTTCAAAACAGGTCTTGTGTATCATTCTCATTATATCTCCCTTTGATACAACAAAGAAAAACTATACATGAGAGTATTGGAAAACTAAAAATGACAGCGAATTGAAAATTTGAAATCAAGGAATATTACTCAGCATCATCTGGTATAAACGAAACTCCAAACAGAAAATATTAAGTGGGGATTAAGGACTCTAGGCTGAGTTAATTTCGTGTTTTACAACAAAACCAAGTATGACATGAACACCACACGAAACCAAACAAAGATGAAACAACATTAATGAAATTCAGTCAAGATATAAACTTTGAACTAGGAGACTACAATGTTAGAGAATCTGCAGAGGAAGAAACATAAAACCTTCTCAGAAGGACTTCATGTTCATTCTCAGTCATTAGTTACAACTACATCTCTTCGACAATATGGGCAGTCACCGCAAGTCCGGACCCAAGGATCCAAGCAAGCAGAGTGGAATCTATGCTCACATGGCAACCGAATAAGTTCATCTCCTTCTGTGAAACTCTCAAGACATATACTACAATCCCATGACACCTGAGATACACCCCCTTCGATACCCTTCTCTACGCTGCTAAATACCTCTGATTGCAAACAGTGAAGGGCATCTTGAGTTAGACCAGGTGGTTTCTTCTTGTGTGATTCCTGCATGGTGTGAAGTCTTTCTGTTTGAAGGGTTGAGTCATCAGAAGGAGAACCTCCAGCAAACAACCCTGTAGGAATGTCAGTTCCCCAGTCCCCTGCATCAACAACCCTCAATTCATCTCCAAGCGTATACTCCCTGTTATAGAAGCCAAGAGAAGCCCGGCCACTTTGCCTGAATGAAGCCAAAATAAACAGGTCCGTACCTTAAGTTAATTCCATGACCAATGCTTCAGAGATAACAAAGCATGCTTGCATTAGCAAAGAAAACTGTGTCATTGTGTTTCTCCTGAATATAGCCTAGATCTGCATTCTTATGGTAACATATGTGACATAGATGCAGTCATCTCCACGCAATAATAAGACAAGCAGTAATGCTAGTAGTGGGGGGCATATGAAATGGGACCAAAAGCAGCAGCCATAACTATCAAGAATTTAACAGCATGGACATATGACGGTACAGCATGAACATGTGACAAATGCCAAAGGTTACCATCATTAATATTGATGGCTGCCAATTTGTGATGGGTCCAAGTACCACGATGTATGCATAACTCTGTGCATTATATAGGGAATTCAACAGGGTATCTAAATCACCTGTTTCCAGAAAGTGACACTCCTCTTAACCTTTCGAGAAGCCTTGCCCTTGCAAGTAGCACAGCTCCAGGAAGTCTGTCATTTACAGTCACTCTTGGCTGGCTTGTGCTGCTTAGAGTTTCAGTGCTGTTATTGTTGCTTGGTACAAATTGACTGGTACTTTGATCAAGTCGAGCTGAGGCACGTTCCTGTGCAAGCCAAATGCAATAAAACAATAAGCGGGGCATAAAGAAGATCATAAAGTGGCATTGCAAAACTGAGAGTTGGTAAATAACAATTGCAATAATGCAAAAAAAAAAAAGCCCTATGGTTCGCCAAACAAGTGAAAAGCATAAAGTTCAATTAAGAAACCAGACACAATTGAGCAATGAAAACAAACAGCAGGAAATATTAGCGAAAGAGTAAACATACAAATTACACACCTTTATCAATCCAATTGATTTTAATATTAGGTACGCATATTTGAGACTAGATAAGAATACACACACGTTAGCCAAATGGAATGGTCCAATGTCGAGGTGCAGCGCAACAACATACAAAATACACACCTTTATCAGTTCATAATTAAGATATCTGGCAGAATGCTTCCCATTCGACAGATTACGAGTGAAGCATAAAACGTTGGACAACCATGAAACAACCAAAAACTCAAATCTTTCAAAAGATGATGTCTAGCAAGCTAGCTGGTATGGATTAATTACAATCTATACGCAAGCTGTTTCACGGAATCTTACATTCTTATTTATATTAAAATCACCTCATTCCTCAATTAAAGCCAATGATCCAATTGACCTCCTAATTTGGCCTGAAATTTATGTGATTTCCATAACAGATTTCGATGAATCCAGACGACCGTCAGTAAATTTATTCTCTAGTGAATATAAATCAAAAGAAACTTCAACTTAAATATCCACTTAAAACAAATTTACCAATTTTTTGTAGCTTTCTATAGCAAATTTTTTTGCTTATTGCATTATTTACGACCGCTAAAGAATTATTACAATTTTAAATCAAGTAATTAAAGCAATAAAACAATTAAAGATATAGTTTTTGAAGACTCAAATTCCAATATATGCAAGTTTCTTACAGAGAGAAACGATAAGCGCTGGCAGGGGTGCCGCACGTGAGGAGATCTGCGAAGAGGATCACAGCCGTCTAAATCATGACGGTGATTATGATTATTGTGATGGCGGCGATTGTAATTTTGGTAAAAAATACGGTCAGAAACAGAAGGTTCGAGCCCTAGATCGGTACTGGCTCGGCTCACTCGCGACCTTCTTTTATAAAACAACTCCGATGCGCTCGTCATGCACCACGGAACTCACAATCCGGTTTATTTGTTGCCACAATGGCAGCGTAAGAAGAAAAGGAAAAAAAATGGAGATAAAGACAGGTGAAATTTTTAGCGAGGTTTCAAAGAAATAATGAAAGTTTGAGGAGGAGGGTTCGCTGAAACGCGGAAGATGTTTTCCTTGACGAGTGAGTCTGTGAGAAGGTTAGGAAGTTTGCTTGCTTCGAAGAAATGCAGATAGCAGTGCAGAGCAGCAAGCAGGAGATAAAACGACTGTGAAATTGTTTTTTTTATATATATATAGAATTCTAGGTTGTGAAATAACCCATCTCATACACGCCCTCAAGTTAGATAGTCGGTGAATAATATTTTTATATTATTTTTTAATATTTTAAAAATTATTTATATTTTAAGTAGATTTTTAATATGAATATTTTATTAACAAGATTTTAATATTATATTAAAAAAATTAGAAAATTTTAGAGGTTGAGGTTGCGAGATTGCGGTGTCTTGGAGAAACTAATAAAATTTCGAAGATTGGTGACTCGTTCGTCAGTTTCTAAATTGGTTGGGGACTGATTGGTAGTTTCCCTCGAAGCTTTTCATTTTCTTTGTTATCTGATGGAGACACTTGAAATGAAGGATTTCGATTTGAGACAAGGTATGGGGTTTAGAAACGAGTAATTTGAGAAAGGGTTGGCTTGCCTCAGAGAATAAGTTCCTTGCTTTGCCCTGCCATAATTATCCACGCACACTTTCGTCGGCAGTTGCCACTGGTGACTACAGCATCAGCAACATTCGCATACCAGCCAAGAAATGTGGCCATACCAAGTTACCAGCTAAACACTTAGCATGCTCAGTGTTGAGGATTTCTTCCCCTGCATTGTGAACAGCTATAGCCCTGTGAGTAATCACGAAGTATGCTGCTGCAGAATCATCCATTGATTAATGTGAATATTGCATGTGTGTAGCAACAACAGAACCATCTCGGAAAAGGAAAAGGACTGCGTAAATGTCTTGGACTTGTGTTACTAATTACTGGCATATGTAGGCAAGTAATTATATTCTACCATTCAGGGCCACGACAACTTTAATCATTTATTTCCTAAGTTTTCATCTCGATCGTGGTTATCAGGAAACTGGAACGAAGCCTTGTTAACCAACTCAATTAATAAAGATTGGTAAACAAGCAAGGATCATGGGGTGTGTCAGGGTCTGGTTTCTCAACACCATCAACATTCCTTAGCCAATAAGTCTGATTTAATGAAGCTGCTTTCTCTGGTACATCGTCCATCACCCACTCATGGCCTTTTGGGACATAAATCCCTGTGCGAGGATGAGGTGCCCAATCCTCCATCTTGCTTTCTTTGATCGAGTTCCTTGATTTTTTCGGCTGATACACAGATGGAGGACTGCTAAAATGGCACTGGAGTGCTGGCCTGGTTTTCCTGCACGAGCTGTCATACCTAGAATCAATATCAGGGCCAAATTAGCAAACACATAAACATATCCACTGCTAACTGACAAAAATCACTAGAAATGCAAGAATTGAAGCTCATTTGCAAAAGAATACTGACTACGCGTTTAGTAAAACTCTAGTTAACTTCAGGTCAGAGGAGAACCCGCAATCACAAGTAATTATTACAGGAAGCTAGTAACATTACCTAAGCATTAGCATCTTTGTTTTTGAAATCATAGTTCTAGCTAGCCGCGAGACTGATGACAAGGTACAGAAGCTTATTATAACTAGGTTGTTATATTGCTGTGAGGCTCTAGGTTAAAGGTTTGAAGGTTTGAAGGTCCTTTATATAATAGTGATGCTACGCAACCATCGAAACCGATGGAATGTCACCATGGAAATACAAGCAGATAAAATCTTAGTGGTGTTCTATCAAAATCTATGGAGGAATAAGTTCTTTGTGTACTCTGGTAGAGAAGGTTGGCCATTGGTACACAAAAAATAGGGGTGCGTGATACAAATCTGTGGCTCTAAAATCATCACTGTTCATGGTTGCTTAAATAATGATTCGATGGGTATCAAGTGGGTGTGATTGTGATATAATAATCAGGGGCGAGAGAAAAACTGATAAAGTGATTGAATTGAGAAAACTAAAAAAAATAATTAAGAAAAAAAACTGGTTAAATTAATTAGAATTTTTTTAAAAAAAATTAATTTGGTTTGATTTTAATTTTATATTGTTCGAACCGGTAAACCCAAACCAAACTTAACCGATTCTAATAAAAAATACTATACATGGAAAAAAAATTGATATCCATAAGAATATATTACAAGTTGGCATAACTGAAAAATACTAGTATATTACTAACGGTTTAAAGTAGGTTAATATTTTTTAAAAAATATAAAATAATATTAAAAATATTTAGTAATTATACTAAAACTAAACTTCTGATATCCATTAATTATAAGCTCGAATCTATTAAATTTAATTATATATTTTAGTTGTTAAAAAAAAAAAATACAAATACAAATAATTAATTATACACACGCTACATCATATAAAAAAAATATAGTTATACATCCAATAAGACGACATATTACTATATCTGATCATTAAAAAATATTATACATGTCTTTTTAATAATGTAAGCACTACTTGCTAAAAAAAAGAAATGTCTCATAAAAAATAAAAAAAATAATTATTTTAACATTAAAAATATCTCTTAATTTATAATAATTTTATATGACATTTTTGTTATGATATTACAAATATTACTAATATATCAAGTGATATGGATACATTATATCTAAGATTATATGAAAGGCCTTACAAGTATATTGTGGATCAATTTGCAACTTTTTTTTTTTCAAAATTTCAATTGATTATATTATTGGGGATTGTGTTACTAATTAAACTGTGCTACTCCGAACAATATGTGATTTTATCTTCAAACAGAATATCTATAAATAAAAAGTGAATAACAAAAAAATCAAACTGACCTTTGAGATCTCAGATTTGGATTTATTATCTTATGCAAGTACATATCTGAACCACCACAAACCTCACGACATGTTTTATAAGCTAATTCAATACTCTTTGTGCTGAAACCATTATCTACATAGATCAAAACAATCATGCATTAGAAAAAAAAATCAAAAATGTCTTATTATCAACAACAACTGACATGTTGATGAAAAACCCAAAATTATCTATTAAAATTTATATCTTTTACTTGGCTCAGAATAACATCATCCATATTTCAAGATCTTAATTTATAAATAAAATAAAAATTGATAATTTAAAATCATAAAAAAAGAAACTATATATTAGAGAATAATATAAATTATATTCTACCATCTCACTTAATAATTTTAACATGATATCACAGTTTTGATAATCAAGTTATGAGTTTTAATCTCATTCTTTTTATTTATTTGATAAAAATTAAAGTATAAAATAAATTTATATAAATTTTAAATTTATTTGAAAAAATATATTAAAAATAATATAAATTATATTTTAAAATTTTATTTAATAATTTAAACTATTATATTATATTATGTTTAAATGACTATTTAACACTTTATAAATGATTTATATAATACTAATTTTCAGGGAGAGTATAACTTTATAAAGTGACGATAAAAACAAAGAAGGATTTCTTGTTGACCAAAAGGATAGAAAGCGAAGAAAAGATGTCATTCTGTCGGGTGATTAAGATAAGATAAAAGGTAGATTACAATTTTTATTATGGTTGTAGTTATTAGTTTTTAAAATATTTTTTTGTTTAAAAATATATTAAAATAATAATTTTTTATTATTTTTTAAAATTTATTATTAACACTAATGGAATAAAATGGTTTGAAAATATAAAAAATAATTTTAAAATATAAAATAAACCAAGTGAACATCATTTTCATTGACAACTATGGTCATGTGGGCCATGACTCCACAAGTTTGGATAATCGAATGGCAAATCAAATTCAAAGAAAACCAAAAATCCAACGTGGAACTTCACTTGCACTAATTTTTGTTGCCTCGTCAGATTACACTTACACTTCCCATTGCGTGTTTAATTAAATTTTATTTCCTGCAGTGGCCACCTGTTTCCCGCCCCCGTGACGTCAAAGCCAAGGAAAGAAAAGAAAAAAAACCCTCCTTTCCCGCCATTAACGCCAAAAAACAAAACCCGCAATCAATCCCAAAAATCACTTTTATTTTATTTATCACATGTTTAATTTAATTTAATTTATAAATAAATTTCAATTTAATTTATAACTTATTATATTTTTTATATTTAAAATAAAATACTAAAAAGTATTTTTATTTAATTTTATATAAAATATCAATGTTTTGAAAAATATAAATAAATCTATTTCATATTAATTATCTACTGAAAAGACTTGAAAATTAAAATTTGTTAAAAAAATATTCAACCATCATCCACACACATTACCAAAAAAAAAAAAACCCATTAATTATGAGCAAAATTAAAAAAAAAACTAATAAGAAAAATGGAACAACAAAAAAAAAACAATTATATTTTAATAAGAATTGATGCAAATAAACGTTTTTCAAAGAGACAATAATATCTTACTTTTGCATTTTTATATATATTAAATTCGGAATTTAAATTAATATTCTTAATAAATTCTAAATACAAAAGTTCATGTAACTCTTTCAATTATTCCAGAAAAAAACTGTTTCATTTTTCAAGATCGACGGAACACAACCCAAAACAACAACAAGACTCATCAATGAAAATCAAAACGAAGCGATCAAAACGAAAACTGGGGTTACCAGCTGCAATTATTCTTTGTTCTTTGTTCTTTCTTGCCGGTTTCTACAGTTCCATTTTCTTCCCCCACGTGAGTGCCTCTCTCTCTGCGTGCGTTGATTTTGTGCTTTAACTAATTACTCTGATCAGAGGGTGATTATTGTTTAGTTATGGTTTTGCAGGATGTACCTGTTACTATACCGAGGTTAAGAATGCTTGAAGTAGCTGAAGGGGATCATGATACGAAGCCGCATGGGCTTACTGGAGAAGCTTCTGTTGAATCCATTCCTTTTCAGGTAATTCAAGTTTGATAAGTTTTTGGGTGAGTGTTAGAATGGGGATTTATTGGAGAGTTGGACTTAAAGTCAAGTTAGGTTACTGGAGTTTGATGTGAGATAGATTTGTGGTAGTTTTCATTGGATCATAGTTTTTTGGTAAATTGTTTAGAAGTCTTAGCTTGATTAATTCCCATAAAGGAAATTAATTTTAGTTTTGTTTATCGAAATGACGGCAAATAAGATTATTAAAATGAAAATAACGAACTGTAGAATGATTTATGGCACTTTGGAGATGGTGTTGGTGGGTAAGAAATAAAACAGAAAATGATGCACTGAAAGGAAAAGAAGAGTTTCAATCTTGTAAATAAACCAATGTTTTTGTGAGAGAGGGAATGGATAGGCTGTAATTTTATTTTATTTTTCTGCTGATGTAGAAATGCTTTGAATGATGTAAATCTGTTATTCTAATTTGTTTGCGCATCTTTTTTATACATGGTTTCAGGTATTAAGTTGGAAACCAAGAGCACTTTATTTTCCGAAGTTTGCGACTCCTGAACAATGCGAAAGCATAATTAAAATGGTTGAGTCTAAATTAAAACCATCTACACTAGCTTTGCGAAAGGGAGAAACTGCTGAGAGTACCAAAGGAACTAGAACAAGGTAAATCATTTCTTTTTCATTTCCTTTTTATGTGCAATGCACCATGTCCTTATCTTACAACTCTTTAGTCAATGGACTTTTCATCCCTTTTGACATTAGAACTCATGAAAACAGTTCAGGATCATTTGTTAGTGGATCAGAAGATGAAACTGGGACCTTGGACTTCATCGAGAAGAAAATTGCAAAGGCTACAATGATCCCGCAATCCCATGGAGAGGTATTTTCTTGCTGCAATAATGTCCTTTTTTTTTTTGGCTTTTATTTGGGGCTGGAATTCATAGGATTGTGATAATAATTATGTAATAGGTAGTATACTACTTTTCATATCCATGTGTTTACTTGTTTCTCTTTCTTTTAGTAAAGCTAAAGGCAATAACTTACATTCAAATATGACTCAATCAACAGTTGTTAATACTTGATGACATTATGTAACCTAATGTTCCAGATTATAGAATCTGATGGATCACTGACTCTCTTTTGTTCTGATTTTTTGTTTTATAAAAAAAACACTGTAGCAACTTTCTAAATATTTGTTCTTCAAGAGAACCAGGTATTCTCCTGCTTTTTTTTTAAATGACACTTGTTTATGAGCAACACACATACAAGTTGTTTGGTATCATGCTCATGGGGCTTTGATAACTAAATCAAGCACACTGGTAAAAGTTAGAGGAAAAAAAACTGCTACAATTTAGATGTTCACTACTAGCAGATTAAATGGTTAAAATAACTGTTAACAATGTTAAGGATGCATATGAGAAAAGCGGAGAGAGTTTCAAATGATACCACAACTTACCTCTGAGAGAGACTGTTTTAGCAGGTCAGTTATCTTTCAACATGCCACAAACTTGAAAATACTAAGGAAAACCGAGAAACTGACAGAAAAGACTAGCTTTTATTAACACCTGTTTTAGCTAGTCACTTGCTCACCTTTCTTTCTGATGACTTAATTGATTGACCCAATTAAGCCCTGTTTCCATGGCACTTGCTCGCTATTTTATTTCAGAAATGGTTCAAGGCTATAAGCAATCTAGATTTGTCTTATGGTTTCAGAAAAGTAGGGAGCCTGATTCCAGAATCTGCAACTCAACATGATTATGAACTCCTTCTCTAGTTTCCCTGTAGTCTTTTAGTTGAAAAGGGAAAGTTGGAGATAATGAGCAACCATGTTTTGGTTAGATTTATATAGTCAATTAACAGTTACCTTGATGGTCCAAAATAAAGTCTAATGCTTTTGAAATGCTAGCTAATGCATGTGAAATCTGATCCCTCTACTTTTGCTTTTCCTCCTAGATGTGCTCCCTGGAGCCCAGGCTGGCATCTCTGATATTTTGGATGTGTGATGTTAGAATAACATCTTATATTTTCTCGTGAGCATGATTTGATCTTTTTCAGTTAATAATTCTTATCTAATCAAGTATTTGATATCATGTCCCCTTGCATTTAAAATTTGAAAATAATTAACCTTTCTTTACAGGTCATTTCTATGTTTGTCTGAGTGGATATCACCCTGTTGCAGGCATTTAATATCTTGCGTTATGAAATCGGGCAGAAGTATGATTCGCATTATGATGTGTTTAACCCAGACGAATATGGTCCACAGTCAAGCCAAAGGGTACATAACAAGCACCTCCATAGCATCTTGAATGTTACCACTCCCTCGCCACTACGTGTAGAATGCTGTACTAAATTGGCAGTTCATAAAGTCAGATCACTTTCTTGCATGCCATCATTTTCTGTCCATGCCTTTCCTTTCTAGTTGTCATTTCAGTCGTTCTAGCATGGCATCATACCCAAAATCATATTTGAAGCTTTTTTTATATTGTTCTCAATTGCTTACAAGGTATTTACTTCACAGCATGTTATATTGTTCTCAAAGATTGTTGTTTTCTTAAAATTAAACATGTGATCTTGCAGTAACTGTGAAAGTGTTATGCAATAAATATTATAAATTTGTGATTGATTCACCATCTTGCAGGCTGCTTCTTTCTTGCTGTATCTGTCTAATGTGGAAGAAGGTGGAGAAACCATGTTCCCCTTCGAGGTATTTGATCAAATTCTGTGTCTTTTTGCTGCTTTATGATTTGAATCATTTTCATACTGATAGTAACCACCCTACTGGTTCGATTTATAGAATGGCTCTGGAGTAAGTCCTGGTTTTGATTACAAACAATGTGTCGGTTTGAAAGTGAAGCCTCGGCAAGGTGATGGGCTTCTATTTTACTCATTGTTTCCAAATGGCACAATTGATCCGGTAATTTTTTATTTGTCAGATCATTTTCACCCCACAATCATACATGCACAACTATGCATTTTACTTGTTATGTTGACATGTTTAAGTATGCAACTTAAAGAGTTTTCCAATAAATTGGTCCATGAAAGGTGGTTAAATGGTGATGCTAAGCATAGTGTCAAACCCATAACGTTTTTGAAGCCGTTCTTTATATAACTCTGCATTCTACTTCTTGTTATGTTAGGATAGAGAATATAGTAGAATACCTCCTCACTTGAATGGTGTTTTGTTATTCTATTTTCAAGGTCGTTTTGGGTGTACCATGTTGAACCAAATCGCATTCTTGTCATTCTGCATGCCCACCTTAGCTGGATGATTTGCGCCGCATGATTTTCCCCTCTTTAGTTCATTTTATTCTGAAGGAATTAGTATGCGGGAATGGTCGTAGAGCATTAGCCATGGTTTTTGGAAATTTTTATTTCTCAATCTATAATGACTAGTTTAGCTAGTGGTACTCCAGTTTCTGCATGTGATTTCTCACCCTTGTGCGCTACGCTTTTGCAGACATCTCTTCACGGAAGCTGTCCAGTCATCAAAGGGGTGAAATGGGTGGCAACAAAGTGGATTAGAGATCAAATATGGACAACGGATGAATAGATATTATTAACCTGCGATTCCTCATCTGTCGCAGTCGTTGTATCACCTTTGTGGAAACACTATCAATTTCATCACTCAGTATGGACAATTTCATGTACTCTGGCGCGCGGAGGTTAGTTTACAAGTGAAAAATGAAGATATTTTTATCGGTGCATTATTCTACCACACTGGAAGACTTCTATATTTCTCTGGTTATCATGTCAAAAGAAATGCAAAAACAAGAAGAGCCAGACAAAACTCAAGTTGTTTTGTGTGCACATACCAGAAAAAGAGGGGTGAGAATGCTGCAAGCAGACGAGGTATATATTTTCTATTTTTACATGCTATAATTGGCAAGGTTAAGACACCTGGACTATCAAAAAGTGATAGTCAGCGCACAAAACCTCTTATCTATATATATTAAAAGGTGGACAACCCTTTATTAAAAAAAAAAAGAAGAAGAAGATGTAGGCAATATATTATTTGTAACCGAAGTTTCCAATGATTGGAGGGTCACCGAAAAAATTGGGTTAGGGTATTTTGTGCTACAAAATAGATTTTTAATTGATTTTAATTCAAAACACCTAAAACATATTCTAGAAACTTGATAAACTTAAAATCAATTTAAATTCAAAAACCTTCTCGATCTCAAATCTTTCATCTCATTCAATGAAAATGCCAAAAAAACACCATAGTGAAGCCTCATCACCTAATAAAATCTTTTAACATTAAAATCAATATTTTTCATGGCCAAAATCAAAATTAGTTCAAAACTTTGCTCTCTTCAACTCAAATTTAGTGATTCTTTTTTGTCTCTCTCATACTATGAACTATAAAAAAAAATAAAAATTGGATCAACTTTAATTTTTCGAACACCACATGGATCAAAAAGTTAGAAATAGCAAATTAGAAGGACCAAGAGTGAACTTTGCACACAATGTTACCTATTTTTCATGTTTTTTCACACTTTGATCCTCCATTTTACTATTATGTCCTTTCTTAAAAAGTTAGAGCCAATTGACCATTAATTTGGCTATAAAAGATTTGGGGAAAAATCAATAATTACAATGAAAAAAAAATCATTGTGACAATTCAGAATGAATTGCGAGAGGGTGCACAGTGCATTTGGCATAGTAATTTTTTCACACCATTTAGTTTTTTCTATAATAATAGTGCTAATTTTATTGAATTTATTTTTAAAAAATCATTTTCTAAAAAGTATTATACACACGAGATAATACAAAACGTATGATCTCGTGTCGGGCTACAAGTAAGTAACCATTAGCGTCAACATACTCCAAATACACCAGATAATTACTCAAATCCAGATTTAATTAAAACTAGCCGTTAGAGACCACCAACCTCCAGCCGTAACGGCTACTTTTATTTCTTTATGTTTTTTGAAAAAAACGATTTACATTAGCATAATTTATTGTTCATAAAATCACATCCCCTAAAAAATAAACAACTTTCTTCTTTCATTTCCATCTCTCAAGACCCAAAATATCTCCTAACTAACAAGCATAAGACTGACAATTAAATTCTTTTTAATATTTTTTAATTTACATTTTTCAAGAGATTTAATTGTACAATTCAGCAATCAATGGATCTTGGGTGCTTAGATATGGGATGCATATCTGTATTAGACAAGCAAAGCAGCGACAGTATTGTTCTTGATCCTGTTAACAAGGAATGTGATTCGCGGGAGAAGGTTTCTACGGGTTCTAAGCTCGGGAAGGTAAATCCTTTTCGTTTTTGTTGTTTTTCAAGATTAGGGTTCTTGGATTTTCTTGTTTATCTGTATTGAATTTTAATTTAAATGGAATCGAGGAAGAAGAGAATTTGGTCTTGCTTCTTGTTGTTTCGATTTCTTTTCTTGATGTTTAAAAGAAAGTTGGAATTGATTGGAATTCTAGAAACTCTAACATTAATCAAAGAATGTTGCGATTTGTTTAATTCTTTCTTGGATAAAAATTCAACTTATAAACAAAAACTAAAGTACTGGAATTCACTAGTGTCTCTCCTTGTGTTCTTTGATCCAATGGCCAGTACCAAGTTTTAATTGATAAGTTAATGGTTCACCATTTCATCAATACATTTGTTGTAATTTAGGGCAGCAGCAGCATGTTTGGCTATATATATATATATATTATTTAATGGTGGATGGTTTTCTTATTCTGATAATTGAAATTTGTGGACGTTAATTGTGATGTTTTCATTTCACGTTCTTGAATATTGCAGAATAAATCGCCAAAAGGGACTGGCCAATCAGCATTGAATTCTCTAAGCAAATTTACATCCCAGATTAAGAAGCCTTCTCATCGTAAGAATTCTCCTATCAACTGGTTCCCACGCAAGAAGGGGGACTCCTACTTGCAGAGGAAAATCAAAATGCTGCAGGTTGGTTGCGTCATGTGCTTACTTTATTTTCTCCTATCCCCACCCCCGGAAAAAAAAAAACAAACGGTCGACACGCATCTTTTTTTATGACAACTGATTTGTATATTGGACCAGGAATTGGATGGAATGAATATGACTCTTGATGAGGCGCTTGGTGATTCAAACCCACATTATTCTAGAGTCTTGAGAGAGAAAATTGAAGCAAGAGAGGCTGCAAACAAAGCGGTGGAGGCTCGAAAAGCTGCACTGGTGGAAGCATCTTGGTGTCGGATACTAAAAGCTGCCAGGTAAACTTTTCAGTACCGGGAGGATTTGAAATATTGTGAGGTTTTCCATTCTTGCACCGAGCTTATTGGTTAGTATTTCAGGATCCAGAATAAAGAAGCAGAAGAACTGCTGCTTGAAGCGGAGAAAAATGCAGCCGAAGCTTTTGAAGCTGCAAAAGCTATGGAAGTAATCATGTTCGATATACCAAATTGTCCTCGGATGCCTTGTCAAGTTCAAAAATCTACTGTTAATGTAGGGGGATCTACTGCTCATACGGTCACAGCATCTTTTGCAACTGTATTTGAGGTAGATAAACAAGTAGCTGCAGCGGTCAAAACTGCATTCACCAAGCTTGCAAACTGTCCTACTTTTAACAAAGAAGAATTCAAAGATCTACTGCGAAAAATCAGTCAGAATCCAGATATGGATGATGGTAATTCTGAATTTTCAGAGTGTGAATCAGAGTCTGGGTCAGAATTTGAACTGATATCTAAAGACGTGGATTGTAAGTTTCCCAGTCCTGGGACAAGAATCAGTAAATATAAGAGAAGACAGTCTTTGGACAAGTTGGATACGATCAAGCTTGTGGATGTGATGCTTGAGAGGCTGAGATGTTTGAATGAAGACGAACTTTCTTCTTTGGCAACTATCGTTGCTACATGCGGTTTAAATGCTGCCTTGGCAGAAGTAGAAAACAGTAAGGTGCATGATGCAGTCTTTGCTGCTGATTATACATCTAGTCAAGCACTTAACCTTCCCCGAAGAATGTCTTCTGTTGGTTCAGGAACAATGAGAAGGAACGAGTCTCGGTTGGGACTCCCAAGTCTAGACAAGTTCTTGGTCAAGCACATGTCAAAACTTGAAAGAGAGGTGCAAGAAGCTAAGGATAGGAGGAGGAATGAACTCAAAGCTGGGAATCAAGGGAATACGGATAAAACTGGTGACGGAAAGGTCAATATAGATGGTAAGAAGACTTCTTCTAAGAGCATTCCTGATCTCGGAAGTATACTTATGAAGCATTCCTCAAAGTTAGAAAAGGAGATTGCAGAAGCAAAGAAGCATTCAAGAAAAAGTTTTGAAATTATTTCAAAGAAACCGGTCAGTGACTTAACTACATCCGAGGGCATTTCTGACCTGGGAAGTATATTGATTAAGCATCCGTCAAAGCTTGAAAAGGAAGTTCTAGAGATGAGAAAAAACTCAGGAAAAACATTTGACATGGATGGCATGGACCTTGGAGGAGCAATTAATGGTCAAAGAAAAGATGTTCCAGAAGTACCAAGCCTGGATAAGTTTCTGGTAAAACATGTTTCAAGACTAGAAAAAGAGGTTCAGGAAGCAAAGAACAGAAAGAAAAATGAATCAGTTGAGAAAGGCAGACTAGAGAAGGAAAATATGGACTTGAATAAAGAAGAGAATTTACTGGAAAGAGAGAGAACGCAAGCATTGTCATCGGGAAGCAACTGTGGAAATTACAGGCACCAAAACAAATATGGAGGAAATGTTACTGCAGGTTGTGAGGGCCTGGACAGAGTTCTGGTCAAGCGTGTCTCTAGACTAGAGAAAGAGAAAATGGCATCGAGTCTAAACCAAGAAGAGATGAATGTGAAAAGAAATGGCAGAAAAGTGCTTACGCAGACAAATGAAGGTGATTTGGACCAAATTTTGGTTAAACAAAAATCAAGGCTCGAAAGAGAGAAGATGGCTTCTGCTCAGCAATCTGGAGAAGTGCCAGCTAGGCTCTCTGTATCTCGTAGAGAAGCAAGAGAGAGAGAGTTGCAAGAAGCATGGGGAGGCTTCAGTTTAGGAAACTCCATTCGCCCACATCTCTCCAAACTTGAAAAGGAAAAGGCAAGTTCTCACAATTTTTTTAGCCTATACTATTCTGGGATTTTTTCCCAGTCTTGTTCAAAATGTTTGGTTCTTCCGTGTTTCAGGCGGCTTGGATTAAAGCTGAAGAGGAGGCAAGAAGGCAAGCCACGGAGGAAGTGTAAATTCTTTCAGCCATATCCCAAATGCTTGCTGGCAGATTCTCTCTTGAATCGTAGTACCACATTGTTGTACTGTGTAGCTTCATTATATTAACATGAGGATTCAACTCCGATTCCTCATCTTGTTTTTCTTATTGGTCTTAGAAAACCTTCCGAATTTGCTGCACTACATTTCATTCCACCAGGAAAAGTAAAAAATTTAATTTTAAAGAATAAAATTATTAAAAAAATAAAGATAAAATTTAATTAAGAAAAACACAAGAAGGGTGAAATCTAAAAACAAAATAAAATAATCACAAAAAAATAACAATTAATAGAATGAGAATTATAATTGAAAAATTAAAAATAAAATTGAAAAATATTTGTAATTTGATAAATTATTTATAAATTAAAAAAATAACAGGAGGTGAAATAAAAAAAAACTATAAATTGCTATATGAATTAATTGAAATTCAAAAACAAATGTCATGAAAAGGATTAAAAAAATTAGAAAACATCAACTTAAAAAAAAAATATGCAAACTCGAATGAAGCTTCTAAACCTGAACTAATATTTAAAACTCAACTCATAACATTTTAGATCAGGTTCAATTAAAAAGTTTAATTTTTAATAAATTTAATTTTAAATGATAAAATTGATGAAACCATTATAAATAAAAGAACTTGCTAAGAAAAAAAAACAACAACAAAAAATGAGAACAAAATTTATCAGGAAAAAATGTTAGGAGGATGAAATTTAAAAAACAAATTAAAAAGATCACAGACAACATAAATAGCAATTAGCATAATGAGAACTATATTTAAAAGATTAAAACATCACAAGGGTAAAATTAAAAAATAATAGGAAGATAAATTAAATTGAAAAATATTTATAATTTGATGAATTATTTATAAATTAAAAAATAATAGGGAGATAAATTGAAAAAAAATTGCAATGGGTAACTCAACAAAAGACAAACCAAAAAAATAAAAAAACAATATCATAAGAAATAAAAAAAAACATCATCTTAAAAAAAAAAATCAGACAAACCTTCCAAACCATGTTCAATCTTAAAAATTCATAACTTATAAAATTTTAGATCTGTATTAAATCAAAATGCTCAATGATTAATAAATTTAATTTTAAATGATAAAATCGATAAAAAATATTATTAAAAAAGCATGTAAAAACAAAAAAAATTATAAATATACACCCTATGCAATGCATTTTGCGTACACCTATGCAAAGCATATACCTATTACACTTCATTGGGCACATGCTTATGCAGGACAGGGTGTACGGTTACCGCTCTCGTAAGCTCGAATTGTCATATTTGAGTTTAAGATATTTGGATCTAAACAATATATTTGAATTTACTTTTATCTTTAATGGACTTAGCATCTTATCCAAAATCAATATTAGCCAAAGAATTTTTTCTTGATTTCATATGGATTCCTTAATATTTTATATTAATACAATATATATTATTTTAAGTAAAATATAACTCAAAATATCACAATAGTAAAATTATATTTTAGTCATTTTCTTCGTAAAAAAATAAAATTCATGAGTTATAAATACATCATGAATCTTTCAAGTTAAAGTTTTCACAATCTCTTCATTGTTAACATTTATAACATATATATTTTTATAGTTTATGTATCTAAAATATCATTGTATTTTTTCTCTCTACAAAGTTATTGACTTTACCATCATATAGCCCTCACATTTATCAAAATATATATTTTACATGTATCTATTATCTGTCACCTGACTTATTAGATATTACCTGTTATTACTATAACTATCAATCATTTTAATTTGTCAAGCACTAACTACTATTGTCATAGTTATCGATCACTTACCTTATCAAGCATAATCTAATATCATTTATTAATCTTTAAACTTTTTATATCAGGTCATATATATTTTAACTATACAAAATATATTATATTATTTAAATTAAGAAATAAATCAATTATTTAATATATCAGTTTTATTTTAAATTTTAAAACTCCTGAGAAACAAAAACAAATAAACTATAAAAATCTAGTGTAATTGACTCAAAACAAAAAAGAAAAAAAGATGTGAAGAATGGTAAATAGACAACAATCAACGACATCAAAATGAGCAGTAGCAAGGCAGCGCATTACATGCCTACGCATACAGATAGATGGAGAGAATTAGAGGAAAAGAGACGAGAGAGAGATCAATCGCGTTCAACAGTGCAATCAATTACAGCTATTGGTGCACTTGAGGTCTTAGCAAGTGATGAATGAGATTTGTTCTTTTTTATGTATTCGGGTTCAAATTTTATTGTGTATATCTATCATCTTCGTAGTGTTTTATATGTTTATTGGGCTTGTAGGATATTCAATAAGCTATGGAATTAGTCGTGATGCGCGCAAATTGTCCCGAACACTCATATAAATAAAAAAAAAATTACAGCTCTTGGTGAGGTGAACAATTGTGCCGAAGCTCTAAAAAACCATGCCGATGCTGAGAGAGAGACAAAACAAAGCGGTTGGGAGATGAGAAAAATCACAGGAGACGGAAAACAGAGGACAACCACCAGTCCAGTTGCCGCAAACATTCTGTTTGCAAGAATTTGTGAGAGAGTGAAGGTAGAACACAATCCTGATTTATTTTTATTTTTTTAATTATTTAATTTCAATATTAAAGTTAATGTTTTTTTTTTCCTTTCCTGTTAATGGGCTAGTATTTCTTTCGGTCGAATTTCACGTCAAAAACTAAATTAATTTCTTAGATATGATTTACAACAGATTACTTCTCATGCTTATAAAATTGGAAATTAAAATTAAAAAATATATATCTAATTTCGGCGAAGGGAAAATTATAAAAGAAATTAGAAACAAACTCCAATTCCTTAAAATTGGAAAATAAATAAAGAAACAAAAATCACTACAAACAAAAAGGCACTTATGGTAGCCACCGGCAGCGTCCTGCAGCTCGTTTTTTTTTTCTTCATTTTATTAAAATAATATTCTTTTTATTTTTTAAAATTTATTTTTAAGGTAAATACATCAAAATAATAAAGAAAATTAATTAAGAATAAAAAAATCAAAATTTTTAAAATATTTTTGAAATATAAATATAAAAGATAGCTTCCTCTACTTGTGATGTTGATTTAAATTTAATTGAATGGATACCCATATGAAAATGCAAGTTAAATAATGAATATTAACAAATTTAATTCAAAATTTGCTACAAACTCCGTCTAAAATATATAATTTATATATTTTTTAATTTGAATATATATAAGATATGCATATATTTAATAAAAATTATATTTAAATATACCAATTATTTTTTATTTATATTAATTAATTAATTAATTTAAAATATTTAAAGTTTGATTAACATGGTATAAATATTTAAATTATTTACTTGGGAATCATAAATCATAAGTAAAATATAAATATAATAGACAGCCGATCACCCGTACGTTGACATCCTATTGATACCTTGTTCATATTTATTTGTTTCTAGAGTCTTCTTCTTTTCCTTAGCAAAGCCAGTGCTGTCCCTTCTTGCTCTGCGTTCTAATTTCCACCACGCAACCAGAAATTCAATAAAGATTTCTCCCTGATTCCGATATCAAATCACCATGGGAGGAGGAAACGGTCAGAAATCAAAAATGGCCCGTGAGAGGAACATGGAGAAGCAAAAAGCTGCGAAGGGTATTCTTTATATATATCTTGTACTTCATATAATTTCTCCAAATTTTGGTTCTTTTCTTGGAAATTTACGGATCTAAGTGGTATTGTTTTTATTTTCTATTGAATTTTGTTGAGTTATTTTAATTTGATTTCTTGTGTGTATAGGAAGCCAGCTTGAGTCTAACAAGAAAGCTATGTCTATCCAGGTAGTCTCTTTGCATGCTTTTGCTTTTAAATTTTGATATCATACGTATGCTATATCTCCCCTTGTTTTGCGTCTCTCTTGTCTTCTTTTATACTAACATATCTTGTTAGTATAATTTTATAGTCATTTGACAGATTTTTTTTAATCTTTTAATCTGGATTTTAATTTGATTGGATTTTTAGCTATAGCAGTTAGTGAGGTTTGCAATAAGTAACTAGATCATCCGTGTGAGAATGTTAGGAACTTGTTTCTTCGATGCTTTGGCCTGAAATTCTGCATTAGCTGTGATTTTCTCTTAAAGCTTCTCTCTTTGTTTTAAGCCTGCTCAGAGTTTCTCCCGTTGTGCTTCTGGTTATAGAATTACTTTTCATTGGCCCTTTTAATAATTCTGCCGCATTTTCATGTATGTGGGTGATTCGGATGTGTGTCCGACGCCATCCTATGGGAATGAATAAACTGTGGATCTCTTCATTACATGTTTCAGAGATGTATTGGAATTAAAGATTATTAAGTCTAATGGATTTTCCTTGAGATTATATTGAGTTTTCTTTATTTTCTCTCCTGTGTTGCAAACATTAGAATCCCCTTTCTCTAGTTCAGAGTGGAGAATGTCTTGAGACTTGTGGCGAGTTTGGACCTGGATATTTTCTCAATTACTGCTCTTTGCAGAAGCTGGATTTTCATTTTGCACTGATTTATTATAGAGATCCATGACGCTTCTCGGTATACAATTAGTAATGTGAACAGTGAGAACATTTCATAGTCCGTGAACATTAAACCATTTCTGCATTTTAGGTTTCCCAGTACGAGGTTCTTGATTCTGATTTATGATGGGTAGTTTTTCCATGTTTCTTGGTCATTTTCTTAGGATATACCTATCTAGTGCCTGCTGTAAACTTGTATTTCATTGGCTCCGTTATATTTGTTTTTTAGTTTTCTTATCAATATTCTTTGTGAAGTCGACATTTTTATTCAGTCCTTTACAAGGTTGTGACTTGATCTCTTGTTGCTGTCTTACTCGACACCGGTGCTGGTATTGATCCGGTGGATCATGGATACTGAATGCAGTGCAAGGTGTGCATGCAGACATTCATATGCACCACAACAGAGGTGAAGTGCCGGGAGCATGCTGAAGCAAAGCACCCTAAGTCTGATGTGTATGCTTGTTTCCCGCATCTTAAAAAATGATGCTGGAAGTGCAAAACAAGAACTTGCATACTGAAATCGATCGTAGAATACTACTTATTATCTACCTTGCTACTTTTCGAAC